GAAACACTTCTGGTATTGTATTTATGTTTTTCCTTACCCATACGAGTAAAAAGATAGAAAAATAACTAAGTTTTATATTTAACTACAGTGAAAAATTGTATTTCTCTACTGTGGGAATATTTGGTACAAGTGATTGATGGGAAGAGTCCTCTCAAATTCCATCAATTCCTGAAAATGTTTGTTTAAAATAATGTTGATAATGAAAAAATTTAATAAGTCAGATAATCTGTTCTAATGATAATGATGATGATGATGATGATGATGATGATGATGTTTAGGTGATGACATATTAATTCATTTAATCCATTTTCCATAATTTTTTTATATCTTTGGAATTAATAAATTCGGATTTTGGATTCCATGAATTTATAAATACGTTATTGCAATCACCAGGATTTATAATAATAATAATAATAAATGATAATATAAAATGAAACATACATGTTTGATAATCTAATAAACTAAAAGAAACAAGTTCCAAGTATTATTCAAGTTATTTATAACAATCCCAAATAGTATTAGGAAATATTCAATATTTGGTATCCCCAATCACCATAAAAACTTTTATTCTTCTACCGGAAATTGTGTAATTTAATTCAATCACATTTCGGTAAGTATCAAATATCTAACTTTAAATAAAGTTTTCGTATCCCAGACAATTAATCCCCCAAAATTATTATTATTACTGTAAACATTAACCGTGTTGGTATTAATCATTTTTCAACTTCTTAAAAAATTCTAGACTCAAAAAAAAGTCTTTCTCCTATGAATATCTACTCGATAAATAATACAATTATAACCGAATGAAGCAAATGAGATCGTGCATCCAAATACATTGAATGAAGATAAGATGATCTCGCTTTAATTAAATATTTGAAATGGACATAAAATTTTATTTTCTGTGATCCTGTCCAAGGAGAAAACAATGACAATACATTTGTTCTATTATATTGAGCTGTCACTATACCATATCCTCCGTCTTCTGTTGATGTATAATTTGGAATAAAATTTTGAATATTATTTAGTGTATTGATCTTAATTCGTTTATTATTCCTTTGCTACCTCTAAATTTTTTTATTATTTCCCACCAGAAATTTTAATTAATTGATAATAAATAAGATAAATAATTAAGGATATTGCTAAAGCTCACCGGTGGTGATTGTCACCACCGGGTAAAATTACATAATTCCCTGATCAACCCCTAACCCTAACTTTGCCCACGTAAATTTAATTTTGCCCAGAGGTGATAATCACCACTTGTGAGCTTTCAATAATTAATTAATTAGATAATTAAATAATTAACGATACGATAATCAATAATTTACAGTATACTAAATTCCTTCCATAATAATTGATTTTTCTCTTAGAGATAGAGATAAATTCCTGATTATTGGAAAATAAAAAAAAATCATTCAATATCAAATAAAATAAAATAATAAAATAATACCAACCAATCAATAATTGTTCCACAAACATTATATCTCGTATTATTTAAAGTACCAGAATTATTTCCGCATAAATAAGTTATCAAAACATAATTTCTCGATATGGCATAAATAATAATTCCATCCGTGTTATATAAAGAAGTATCAAATTGATTTTCAAAGAATTCTGACTATTTAAATCCGGATTTAAACTAAATGCGATTCCAGGTTTAATTTGACAAAGTTATCTGATAATAATTGGTATTTACCGGTATTAATACTAACATCTATCTTTAATATTGATTCGTTGGTCGTAATTAATCTTAATCGTATAATTGAATTGGTACAATTGATATCATCATTATTACTTGAAATCCGGTAATGAATGAATTAATCTTCATTAAATGAAAATTGAGATGACGATGAAGATGATAATGTTGATGCCAATGCTAATGATAAGTTTTTTGATTTCGATGCTGTTGTTTATGTGATGATGTTAATGGTTATTATTATTATAGTTGTTGTTTAATAAATTTTTTGATTAAAGAATGTAAGTCTGCAGTGTAATTGATGGTCCATATTTTTCTCTCTTTGGCGGTCTTATTCCTCTTTGATTATACTAAATGTAAAATAATAGATGAGGATGAAATGAATCAGAGATAGATGAAATAAATGGGAGAGAGATGAATGAGATAGATGAATAAGTGATGAAATAAGAAAAAAGATGAATGAAAAATTAAAGAGAGATAGGCGAATGAGAGAACGAGATGAATGAAAACTAACCGAACCAAATGATACCCCATTCCTTATTGGATACCCGTAATCATCAACATCATCAGGTATCATACGATTCTCTTTACGTTCTTTCGAAAGTGCCTTTTATTTTTTTTAAAAAAAAAAAATTAAAAAAAAATTTTCAAAATAATGATTATCAATTGCTATTACTTTTTCTAATAATGCTTGATCATCAGCAGAATTTTTGTTTAATAATAAAACACCTATTATTATTTTTTTTTTTAAAAAAAAGATCTTCATAAATAAATAATAATATAATAAATAAATAAATATATATATATTTTTACATTTTTTTAAAATTATAACTGCATTTATTTTTATTTATTAGAACTCACATTTTTGTATCTTCGTAAAGATTCCGTAGATTAATTGGATTTAGACTATCAATCACTATTACACTTAATTCTAAATGATTTTTTAAATCAAAAAATTCGGGGATATTAATGTCTCCTCTGACATTCAATCAAATAATTGTTCGTAACTATCTTTGTCACAATAAAATTAATAAAAAAAAATTAATAAATATTTATATTATTATTATTTATTTGTAAAATCATATAATATATATTTACATTAAATAATAATTAATATTTATATATTTAATAATAATTAGTAATTAATTAAATAATCAATTAATAAAATTAAATTAAATTAAATTCGAAAAATAATAAAAAAAATTTTTTTAATAATAAATAAATGAATTAATAAATTTTCTGCATTACCGATTTCGCTAGTGGACTTTGTTTCTCAACACACTTAATAAAATTATTACTGAATCTATAGGTGTCAGGCTTCATATTACGCGTTTTAAAAAAAAATTTTCTATAAATAAATTTTCAAAAATTTTTTTTACGAAAAAAAATCTTGGGAAGGAATTCGTTACCAAACATTAAATATATTAAACCAATAAATAAATAAATAAAAGAAAGAAAATATTTCCACTGCACATATTGCATCAATATCTGCACTACAATATATCAATACAGAAGGATCGAGTATTAGAGTACCATTTTCATCTTGAAAAAAATTCATGGCTTCAAAAAAATATTTAAGCGCTTCTAAGCCGATAAACAGTGGGGGTATCAAAAGTCACCGGGCAACCAGAAATTAATAAAAAAAATAACTAAATTCGAAATGCACAAACTTTTTTTTATTAGATTCTCCTAAACTAAAGCTATCATATTATATATTTTGTGTCAAAATTGACACTCTAAATAAAACTGACAAAAAAATAAAAAATTTAATCTTTGAACGTTGCCCATACCGAATTCGATGAATATTAAAGGTAGATACCAACTATCTTACAAGTAATTGTAGCCAGAAATAATATATACAACTTTAATTAGAACAAGTTTTTCTAGTATCTAATTAAAATTTGGACTTTACTTAGGCGTGAATAAAAATGACCGAAATTTATTAAAGATTTTAAAAAAATAAAAAAAAAATCCGAAAATAATATATCTATCGTTTCAACATATAAAAGTTTTTATTTATTAAAATAATAATAATAATGGCACTAAGTAACATTAAAGCTGAGAATATATAGCATCTTATGTAAAGTATTTAGGCATATTTAATTAAACTCAAGCGAATAATCAGCGATTAAATTCCAGAGAATAATTTTCGAACGTCCAGCGTACAGCCGTTACATTTAAATTTAATTCGCAAGTAAAAATTCTAAAAACTTTACAAATGCTGCTACATGATTATGGCTACAATATTATTTAGTAATATATTTGTTATTTTATTAATAAATAGTAAATAATGAACTTTAATATGTAGTAATTTTTGATAATTATTTTCGGATTTTTTTAATATCAAAAATAAAATGATCGACAATAAGTTTGCCCACTGCGCAAAATTTCTAAGGCATTATTGTCGATCATTTTACCGTAAAAAATAACTATCAAACGTTACTACATATTAATATTCATAATTTATTAATAAAATAACAAATAAGTTACTAATTAATCTTAAAGCTAAAAATTTATAGAATCTTTTGTAAGGTTTTTAGAAGTTTTACTTGCAAATTAAATTTAATATCAACGGTTGTACGCGGACGTTTGAAAATTATTCTCTGGAATTTAATCGCTGAATACTTTACATAAGATGCTATATATTCTCAACTTCAATGCTCCTTAGTGCCATTATTATTATTATTTTAATAAATAAAAACTTTTATATGTTGAAACGATAGATAAATATTTCAGATTTTTTTTTATTTGTTTAAAATTTTAATAAATTTCGGTTGTTTTTATTCACGTCTAAGTAAAGTCCAAATTTTAATTAGATACTAGAAAAAATTCGTTCTAATTAAAGTTGTAGATATTATTTCTTGCTACAATTACTTGCAAGATAGTTGGCATCTACCTTTAATATTCATCAAATCTGATATGGGCAACGTTCAAAGACTAAATTTTTATTTTTTGTCAGTTTTATTTAGAGCGTCAATTTTGACACAAAATATATAATATGATAGCTTTAGTTTAGGAGAATCTAATAAAAAAAAGTTTGTGTAATTTAGATCACCCGATATATTACAATTAGCATTTTGAATTTAGTTATTTTTTTTATTAATTTCTGGTTGCTGGTGACTTTTGATACATTTTTTTTTAGAGTTGATCTCGTAAAAAAGTTGAATTTCTAATTTTTATTTAATGCTAAGCTGGTTATTATTGTTATTTTCTAATTATCTAAAGCAGAGTCAATCATGAGGCTTTCCGTTGACTATGGCCAAACAAATCGTGAATTTTTATTTATACGGATCGGTCTGTGAAGAAAAAAGCGAAAAACACGAAAAATACAAGAAACAGATATCTAAACATATCTTGATGCATTAATAAAAAATGTAGGGGAGACAATTTTATAACCCTTAATATTAATTAATTTCGGGAATCGTGTCACAAATGTGCAGAGTATTTCAAACACTTTCGCCTATCAGTCTCAGAGTTTGTCTCACACAGTCTTATTTTTAATACACTCTATCTTGCTAGTAGTCAAACAATCCGTTGATGTAAACTTGTCTATCTCAAAACAAATAATAAAATATAATATAATTCTTTTTAATTCTTTATTTTAATCTGAAGGCACAGTGAGTAATGTGGAGTAAAAGTATTAACGCAGTATCAAATAATATTTAACAATATTTCACAATATCACAACACAAAATATAAGTTTATTAAAATATAAAAGGTACAAATTTAAAAGTAAAGTATCATTTAATGACAGAAATATTACAGGTTACATGTCTATTTACTGTCCCTAAAGGAAGTTTACTTTCTATCTAATATATTATTATTCGAAGACTAATTAGAGGTCTGCTAAAAGAATACTGTTTCTTGTCTCTAACAAGCACTTCTTTTAAACTTTTTCGCCTTCATTCAATTTTTACCCATCATCCTTTGTACTCTTCATCTTTGTATGTCATCCTTCATCCTTGTGTATTATCCTTCATCCTCTTTTGGATGGCCACACAAATTGTCATCCTCGTACAGTCATTTTAGTGTTACCATTTATTATCCCCGTGATTATTCGCATGATTACCAATTTACTCCGCCACAATGTGATTGACTCCGACATCCCAAAAAAAGGAGATCAATATGTAAATCGGGAAATCCAAATTTAGGAAAACATATAAATATCAATAAGAGGATTTTTTTGAATTAACTACTATTCATAAGTTCCCCGTTACAATTTTATTTGAATAAAATGACTAAAATTTTTTACAAGAAAACTTCATGGATCTAAGAAATATATCAAATGCATAAAATGCGACAGAAAAAGACTTATTAATAGTTCATATATATGTTATTATTGTTATGGTATGAATTTTCTGATTGCTAACAGTGGTAATATAAAAATTGATCATTTTATCAATGCAACGCAGTCACAAAATAAAATAATTGATGGTCCATATTTGATATGGATTCCTTTTGAAGAGTTTAAAGATGTAAAGAAAATTGGGCAAGGTGGTTTCAGTCAAATTTTTAAAGCTAATTGGAAAATAAACAAAGGCATAAGTTATAAAGGGACTATTAAGCGGTCAAAGTCAGAACGAAAAATTGGTTTGAAAGTACTAAATAACTCCCAGAATGCGGATACGGAGTTTTTAAATGAGGTAATAATCATTTGTTCATTGTTATTAATTATTTAATTAATTAATTTTATTTATTGCATTTAAAAAAATGTGTTGAAACATACATTTGAGTTTAGGTCTAAGTTCAGTTATGACAAAGAAAACATAATTGAATGTTATGGAGTAACGCAGGATCCACAAACAAAAAATTATGCTTTTGTTTTAGAATATATGCCAAATGGAGATTTGAATCATTTTTTACATAAAAACTTTGAAGAATTTACAGGGAAAAGTAAAATTGATTATTTAAATAGTATTGTTAGCGGAATTAAAATTATTCATGATAAGAAAATTATACATCGAGATTTGCATAGTAGTAACATCCTTGTTAATGAGAATATTAATGAGATATATAAATATGGTTATACAGTTATTTATTTAGGATTTAGTCAACCAGCAAATATCGATTCAAATCTTTCAAGAAAATCACAAATATACGGAGTAATTCCATATATGGCTCCAGAATTATTTAATTATCAACCATATTCATATGCATCAGATATTTATAGTTTAGGAATGATAATGTGGCAAATGACATCAGGACATAAACTATTTCATGATCAAGAACATGGACCAAAACTTATATTAGATATTTTAGATGGAAAAAGACCAGAAATTACAGAAGATACACCAGAATGTTGGGCAAATTTAATGAAAAGATGTTGGCATCATGATCCTTCTCAACGACCAACATTACAAGAAATGGATGGATCATCATATGAATTTAAGTATCGTTATTCTGATTATTCTAAGTATTCTGATGGTGAAATCAAAAAAGAATTTTCACACGAATATGACGTGTGGTTAGAATTTGAAAAAGCTGAAGAAAAATGACTTGAAATGGTTGAATACAAAAACCATTTGTAAAAAATCCAGGTTATCAACATTCCAATGCTAGATATTATAGCAATTCATTAAATTCCATGTTAGAATCCATTAATTCAACAGTATCAGGCATGACATTTATTAGTTAAATAATTTTTTAAATGAAATAATTCATTATAATAACAACTTCTTATACATGACATGATTTCTATAGATCTATTCTCTAATGATAATTTAGTCTCCAATGATAATTTTGATATAATGGATTTAAAGTAAGAATTATATTATATTTAATATAAATATACTTCAGTTATTAATCGATCTCACTAATTTATTTTATTTATTAATAATTTCAAATAGTTCTAATCAAAAAAATAATTTCGAAAATTCAGACCATAATTCAAGCGCGGAAAATTCTAAAAAACATTTTTTAAATGAATTATTGGAAGAAGAAATCATTGATGATCAAAGTAATTTTAAATTTTAATTCAATAAAAATTTTTTTTATTATTTTTAATATTTTTTTATTTTTACCAAACAGATGACTTTAAACGAAGAAAAACTGTTAAATAATGTTTTGTAGATAAAGAAGGTATGGATAAAATTATTAATAAAATTATTATTCTTTATTTTCAATAAATTACTTATTTTATTTATTTTTTTTAGTTTTCTTATATAATTAGTGAAAGTTTTATACTGTATATAGTTTTTACAAATTTCTGTTTTTTTTTTTATATAACAACGAATATATTATATTATTATTTTACCTTGGATAAAGAAAAAATTGTTGAATGTATAAGATAAATATATGACTTAAGAGCTGATTAATTCTTCTATTTAGTTAAAAATTCAGTTAAAGAAAGCAAATATTATACATTTTGTAGAAATCATTAAAACTTTTTTCAGTTTGTTTGAAAAAATTAAAAATATATGATTTTAAATCTAGCTTTATTTTATTTGCATTAATATATAATTTGTTAATTTCATGTCAGATGAATTAATTTATTTGCTTTTAAAGTTTTTTACATTTATTTAAATAATCTGTATTTTATTATTTATTATTATTTCAAATGACAGGCATTTTATTAGCTTGAATTTTTATATTTAATAATAAACTAGCATAGGACCCGTGCCTCCGGCATATACGTGTTGCCCAAATCCCAAATCATTTGGGATTTGGGACGCCAAAATCCCAAATTACTAGTATTTGGGATT